AATGTATCTTGGAATATCTACCATGTTCCATTAAATATTCCAGTTTTAAAAAAGGTGGAAACTGACAGTGTGGTACAATGGAAATAACACAGAACTGTAAGTCAGAAGTTTTGAGTCTTCATCCTGACTCTGTTGTGTGAGTTTGGTTGGCAATTCTCTGAACCTCTCTGGGCCAAGTGAAAAGGTCAACTGATCAGGAATTCCAGCCCATAGTCATGCCTCTCAGAGCCTGTGAGCCCTCTGAAATTGCATGCACAAATTTTATGCATGTGTTTAGAATTTTTCTGGGGTGAATCCATAGCCTTCATTAAACCCTCAAAAGATCTATGACTCAAAAATAGGTTAAGGGGGCTGGCCCGGTGGCGCACTGCTACAGTGTGCCGCTTGGGAGCGCGGCAGCGCTCCCGCCGAGGGTTCAGAGCCCACATACAGACCAGTTCCCGCTCACTGGCTGAGCGAGGTGTGGGCGCAACACTGAGTATTGCGATCCCGTTGCCGGTCCCAGTCCGGTACGGGCGCGACACTGAGGGTTGCAATCCGTTGCCCGACATGAAAAAAGACAAAAAAAAAAAAATGTAGGTTAAGAATTACTGGGTAATGACCTGCTAAGTTCCCTGATTGGTAGAGTACCAATATGATTTCAGTCCTATAAGTTTATGTGTTTGGAAGATTAATTTATTTAGATTTTCATGGATTTATAAGGTGATTATTTGCTTGGTTTGTACATTTGGCTGTTTTTTTCATTTATTAATTAAATATGAAATGCCCCCTGTATGCTAGGCACTATCATAAACACTGGGATACAACAATGGACAAAACTGACAAAAATCTCTGCCCCGTGGAACTTAAATTTTAGTGTAGAGACTGATAAAATAAACAAAAAACAAACAACTGAGGTAAAATATATAGTCCATCAGTTAGTGATGACGGGTTCTGTGGAGAAAAATGAAGAAGGAATTGGAGGATGAGGGGTGCTGAGAGTTGATAAGGTAGTTGGTGATTTAAAATAGCATGTGCAGGGAAGGCCTCACCAAGGTAACAATTGGGCAAAGATCCGAAGGTGAGGGGGAGCCATACCTGGGGAAGAAGCATTCCAGGTAGAGGGAACAGCAAGAGTCCTGAGGGAGGAGCATGTTTGAAGACCAAGAAAAGGACATTTTGTAGGCCGTTTGGAGGCACAGTACACAATCAGTGGTGATCGGTTTTGGGTCCTCTTTGGTGCTCCAGCTAAACTACCAATGATGCAGTCAAGTGCAGGGGATGCCACGTGCAAGTGGGGTTAACTGCAGTCCACTCCTGGTTTAAATATATCTTAGAGGCAGGGCTGCATCAGGGACCATGCAGTGTAATGGAGAGCTCCTCTTTCCTTGCAGGCCACAGAGATGCTCGTTCACAATGCCCAGAACCTCATGCAGTCTGTGAAGGAGACTGTGCGAGAAGCAGAAGCTGCTTCAATCAAAATTCGAACAGATGCTGGATTTACTCTGCGCTGGGTCAGAAAGACTCCCTGGTACCAGTAGGCACCTAGCTGAACCTGGCTGGCATAGAAACCCCTACTAAACGGAAGGAAAATGATCTGAGTCCCATGAACCACCCAGAGTTGCTGGGGATTGAAAGCCACATCCTGGCCTGACACATCAGAAAGGAATGGGGGCCTCTTCACATTAGAAAACATTTATGCTCTTTTGTCATGGACACTTTGAAATGTGTCTCCGTAAAGCCTGTATTCTCAAACACAGTTATATTGTGCACACTCTATCCCGATAGGCAGAGTGGGTTTCTAGCCCATGGACTTCACATAAGCTCAGAATCTTAAGAGTGAACACTAGCCAGTCACCCTGCTCTGCCCTTATTCACTAGGGGACAGTTCCCTCTCTGTTTCCTTTTCCCTGGCCTGCATTCTTCCCTCCAGGCTCCAACAACCCAGGCCCCAGGCAAGTCAGTTAAGAAGGAAATCACTGTGCCTTCAAAAGTTATTTTGGGCTTTCCATGTCGTTGCTGACTCTGCCTTCCCTGGGCTGGGCTAGCTGGGTCCTTTTTGGAAGTCAGCTTCACTGCTGCAGGGGAAGGTAGCCTCTGGGGAGCTCCAGCATATGGGGCCTAGATTCATTTCCTGCCCTTGGGCAACTGAATCCTTCTAGTTTCCTAAGGCATAAAACTAAATTTCACTGTCAGGAGGAAATAGCAGAATCACAAGATTCTATCTTTACCATGCCCCTGAGCAATGTCTGTTTTTAGGGACACATCCTGTCCCATATCCTGCCTCGGCCTGCCAAGGTAGCCATCCCATGAACACACTGTGTGTCTTGGTGCTCTCTGCCACTTGGAGAGGCAGAATCGCCAGGGCATGGCCCTGCCCACCCTCCTAGCGGGGCTACTCCCAGGCGCTCCATGCTTTGTCACTGCCTGCAGAGGTCTGTGCTGAGGCCTTATCATTCATTCTTAGCTCTTAATTGTTCTTTCTGAGCTGAAATGCTGCATTTAATTTTTAACCAAATCATGTTTCCTATTCTGGTTTGTGTAGTCTTCCCCCCACATCCCTCCTAAAAAAGATTTTAAAGATGTGTGTGTTTGAAAGATCCTTTTTATCCTTTTGAAATTCAGTCCTAAGAATTAGTCTTGTTCTCCACAAGTATTTAATGTAAAGGCAATCTTCTCTGAAGGACACTTCCTACCTAAGGGAGAATGGTATTTGCAGACTAGAATTCTGGTGCTGCTGGGGATGAATCAATGGAAAACACTTCTCCAATTCCTACCTCTCTTCAACTACAACTAAGCCACTGGCATCTTCTCCTAAGTGTGAGTGTTCAAGAGAGTAATGGGTATGATATTTAATTGTCACCATAGTAAGTTTTCTATTAGGCAAAGAGACAGAGAAGGCAATTTTTCCATGTTTTGTACTTATCACTGCTAAGCATTTCCCAGCACATGAAACCATATTTCTTTCCAAAGCCAGATGAGTAAGAACCCTTGCCTACATGTCCTTCCTTCCCACTCCCTATGTGTTAGATCCCAACATTGAATGTGTAAAACTTGTTTTAAGTTGGTCCTGTACACTCAGGCTTCCTCTCTTTCAACTGATGAAAATTATTTCCAAGGCCCTCAGCATATTTGTATAGTTGCTTACCTGATATAAATGCAATATTAATGCCTTTAAAGTATGAATCTATGCCAAAGATCACCTTTTGTTTTACTAAAGATTACTTAGAGGAAATAAGAAAAATGTTTGCTCTCAAAGTTCTTCCAGTGTTTTGAGATACTGGTTTACAGTTTATGCCCGATGTGCTTTTCTCTAATATAAGTGCTCACGATAGTGAAGGAAGAAAAAATCCCTGAATGATGATTAGAGATGTCACCACTACAAAACTACATTTATAAGCTAGGATTTGTTATATGCAAATATTTTCTGCCTCTTATTTTGTTCTGTTTAAGACAATAAAATGCATTTATATAAACCATGCTTCTAAATGATGGGTATGTTATTTTAGCAAGAACTTTTAGGTCAAAGGTTTCTCCTTTGTTTTGAAGAATAGCCAATGAAACTAATCCTCAAGATCTGGAAACTAAAGATTTTTATTCAATCCAAATGTTGTATTGGAAGTAGAAGTCAGCAGTAGTGTGTTTATTTAATAAGGATCTGAGTGATAAAGGACAACTCATACTCTAGAAGGAGTGCAAGTGACAAAGGTTAACAGTAGGCAGGAAGCAGCCAGATGATGTGGATCACTGACTGGAGTAGTCTGTTTTCATCTTAGAAGAGTCTGGTTATTCATGATCCCTAAAAAGCTGAAGTTGAATGTGCCAGAGTACCACAGATCCATGTTTTATATTCCAAAGCACAGTATAGAATAGAAGGGTTGTCAGGAATCCACCAGGGCTGTGAGGCTAGATTTTGGGGACGTATTCCTCTTCTTGCTTGAAGAAGCACTGGCTAAAATAGTAGGAACAGGTTCTTGGAGTAAAGTTGAGACATGTTTTTGCCTGATTTTTTGGATCTGAAAGGAGTAAGTATCATTAAAGGGCAATATTTAGCGTTGCTTACTGCATTTATCACTGCTTTAACTTAGAAAAGTTGCCAACTATAGAGGTAGATTACAGCCCGATAAGAGTTCAAGGGAAATGTCCAAGACTACTGAATCAGCTCAGCAATCTCTAAAACTGTCTCATTTCTGCTGTTCACCTTATATTCACTCATGCTGTCCTGCTGCTGCATTACAGTCATTTTCTCAAATCATTTGCCTCTAAAGGACAATAAGACCAGCATCTTCCAAAGGTTCTTCTGTAGTACCACCTGAGTAAATCCATCAGATGAATTCACTTTGAACAAAATGATTGATGGTGACTCCCTCATGCAGAAAATAAGCATCTACTTAATTTGCTTTGGGGATATATTCCCTTAAGAATTTAGAAAAGGAATATTCTGGGATTAGCTGGAACTCTGTGTTTGAAAAATATTCTACTCCTACTAAGTATTCATGATCTCTGTTATTGGTAGGTGGTGGCAGTGGTGGTAGAGAAGGTGGCTTTGATCACTTATTGCTCAGTCTGTGGCCAGAAGAGTGATGCTTAAAGAAAGTATGAATGACTGTTAACATACTGAGATTAGGAGAGGAGCACTTAGAAGTGCTTTGTAGCAACCCTCACATTTTGTGTAATGATACAGAAGAAAATCTGATCAGGGCCGGCCCGGTGGCACACTGGAGAGTGCGCTGCTTGGGAGCGTGGTGGCGCTCCCGCCGAGGGTTCGGATCCCATGTGGAGACCGGTTCCCGCTCACTGGCTGAGCGTGGTGCGGGCGCAACACCGAGGGTTGCGATCTCGTTGCCGGTCCCCGGTACGGGCGTGACACTGAGGGTTGTGATCCCGTTACCAGTCAGTAAAAAAAAGACAAAAAGGAAAAAAAAAAGAAAATCTGATCATGTTCAGCCTGCTCTGACACTGAGCCTTGCACATCTAAGAATGTTCTAATAAATAGTCAAGCTAAAAGAAAAATCAACTCATTGCTTTTATCATTTTATTGACAGTATAGCCAGAGTCAGAAAAAGGATTTACTTGATTCTATAAATTAATAAATACAATAATTTAATTGTAAAAGGAAACAGTCTACTTGGATGTTTTAGCAGAAGTTGCTAGATGGGACTCTTGGATATAAGAGAAGATAGCACAGGAGGAAAACTGGACAGCCCAGGTATGGATAGTTGAGATTATGGATTCTGCAAAAAGAAAAGCAAATGCTCTGGGGTCTTTTTTGAGGTAAGAATTCTGAAGAGTAAGAGTAAGATAATAAAAATGAAAAGCAATTGAACTGGGTAACCAACCTTAGGTAAAGGGAATAAATATTTGGCAACATTTTGACTTTAGCTGCCAATCTGAGATTGATTATTCTAGAAATTCAGAAGTTGTAAAAAGTGGCTTTTCTTATTAGATGAAAGGCAGGTTGGGTGCCCTAGGCAGGCAAAGGTAAGAATGCTGTTTAGTGGGCTCCCTCTATACAAGCCAGCCCTTGACAGCATAAATGGGATGAGTGTACAAGTTATCCTTAGCATGATAAGAGAGAGTTAAAAGCTGAGAAGAATGAAAGAAGAAAAGAATGGAGCTGCAAGGAGAAGAAAACTCATAGCATAAGTAAGAACAAGAAGGAAATATGAAAAACAAGCACTGATATCTTAACTTTCAGCCTTTCTCCATTTCTTCATGTCTAATGAAGCAAAATAACTGGGCAAACATTACCAAGCCAATAAAATTGTGTGAAATGATACAACTGTACATTGACTTTTCAACCATGATGATCATTATGGTATCGTTAATGTTACTGAGGATTTTGCTTCTGTCTCAATATAACGTACTTCCATGTGCTTTGTAAGCATGGTAGAGACATTTAGGTACTCCAGTAACAATTATGACCACAGTTTCAGGAAGCAATCTATGATTATAACCTTGGGAAGCACACAGTATGAAAAGGGAGATTCCCCCTAAAGTCAAGGCATGGAGGCAAATTCAACTCCTTAAGGAGAACAACAACAAAGAAAAAGATTTAAAAAGACTGATGGTAGTGAGGCAGGCACATTTTCCTAATTTTGCTGAGACATTTAGGCTAACTACAGTTTAAGTGGTGTTGGATAATCTTTATAAAACATGAAGATGGCAAAGGTTTCACTTGTTTCTCTTTTAGTACTTTAATTTGCTTAAAAGTGTAAACACTTGTGCTTGCAGTAACTTCCTAAAAGCAGTAGTGTTCCTTTTTACTACCTTAATAAAGCATTTGCCCCTTTGATACAAATGATTTTTACTGTGCTAACAGCTGAACCAGTGGCACAAAGTTGAGATGGTATTTACTGCAGCAATGTCCCTGTAAATCAAAATCTGAGCTTTACATAAAAATCTTATTTATAAAAAATACAATAACCAAGTACAGTGAGAATGGAGCAAGGAGCAGCAGTGCCCCCTTCCAGGGCCAGGTTGATGTGGCTCTTGCTACAGTGCTTGCTTAATGGCACAAGTGAAAAGCTGAATAAGGCAAACACTTGAAGAGGCAGTTTTTTGTAAACTTTTGGGGCTGGGGGGAATTTCCTGTTGGGACAGACACTGATTTGGGATGGCTAAGATCAGAAGGTGTGACATTTGGCTGCACCTGACAAATCACATCACAGATTAAGATAGCTCCTGCTGGATGAGACCAGTTCATCAATTGTTTTAGGAGAGAGGGTATCACTGTAGCCTTCTGCCTTTACTGTTACAATGTGCAGTGGACAGCTGGTTCCTCTCTATGGAAGAAATCACCTCCAAAATCTTCCTAAGTGAAAAGATACAAAATAAGCTAAGTCATTAGAAAAGTTTCCTTAGCTTAAAGCTTCTTAAGAACCCTACACTGATTACTAAGTGACTTTGTTAGCGATGTGCAGCTTGACACAAATGCTTTAACTAGAATATGTATTCCCACCCACTTGGTACCTAATAGTAGTAACTTATAATGATGCTTGGAAAACAAACTGATCTTGAGGAATTTTGGCCTCTTCTCATGTCCTCACTTGGAACTTTCCAGCTTTTGTGACGTATTTGACTCCTTTAAATGGCTTATATTTCTCCCCATACATGTCCAAGCGGTTTACTTTTAAACCTGTGTCAAAAAGAATGAAAGGAATAAATTATTATCCTAGTCACACTAACCAATACACTGTTTATTTAGCAATGAGCACTATACAGTGAATCTGGTATTAACCCTTCCACCATTTGGAAGCAATGTCCCTTCTACCGTTCAGGAATTATTGTGGGGGTATGGTTTTAGGTGAGATTCTCATGTGGGCAGGGTATGTCTGTTAAGGTTAATTCTACTTTCTGTGAATATGAATGGCTTCCTCTTTGGTGTCTGGGTGAGGGTGAGGGGAAGCTGTGTGAAGTAAGGTGCCCTCCAAAATCACTGGTGTCTGGGAGACTGGTCACGTAGCACAGTGTAAAAGGCAAACTGGAGCTGTTGCACTTTCAATTTTTTTAAACATTTTTTATTTTGGTTGCTCTTTCTAGACAGGGAACATTTGTTACTCTGCTAAGCTCCTAATAATTGAGCTCAGCAAAACTCAATTACCCTTAAACATAAGCCAAACTTATCCTTACCTGAAATTGCAAGTTGCTGGATCCTGAACTGTATGTTGAGGCTTGGATTCTCTTCTGGCTTGGGTGCTCCAGACTGTAAATTTACCAGCCCTTTAAGACTTGGGAGCTTTTGTGGAGTAATTTTTCCCACATCCCATGTTAGTACCTTCAAAAGACATGAAATTAAAAACAATATGAATATCTGTTAACGACAAATGCTCAAAGACAAGGTTTAAACACACTATAAACTTCTTTACAAAATGAAGCACAGTGTCTTAGAAACAACAGACCTGGGATCTGCAATGTGTGACTTTGAATGGGGAGTAAGAATCAACATTTGTTAAGCATTTACTTTTGTATATAGCACTGTGCTCAGCACTATACATGTTATCTCACAGAAGTCTGTTAGGTAGATTTTGTCTTCTATCTGTAAATGAGGAAATTAAGGCTTAGGGAGATCATATGACTTGCTCAAGGTCACATAGTTAGTTAGAGGTAAGGTTGCCATTTGAACCCAAGGACTATCTGATTTCAAATGCTCTTTCCATTATATCACGTTCAGCGTTTCTCTCTGGGCCTGTTTATTTTTCTTATGTTGGTACTTTTAAACTTTTAGCTATGGAACTCTTTACTCAAATGAAATCTTTAGTGTGGAAACTCAATAATAGATAGGAAGGTGAAGCTGTTGTGACTGAAGCTGGAATGAAGAACCAGGGATCTGGAGTTTCTCCTCATCCCTGTGTGGTCTCTTGGGAGGTTTTTTGAATTCTTAGAACTGGTCTTTAACAGTCTTTAACATGACGATCTTTAACATTCTATGACTTTATTCAAAAATATGCCTTTTGAGCCGACCCTGTGGCTCACTCGGGAGAGTGCGGCACTGGGAGCGCAGTGGCGCTCCCGCCACGGGTTCGGATCCTATGTAGGGATGGCTGGTGCGCTCACTGGCTGAGTGCGGTGCGGACGACACCAAGCCAAGGGTTGCGGTCCCCTTACCGGTCACAAAAAAAAGGACAAAAAAATATATATATGCCTTTTCATTTATCAAGCAGCTCAATGACTCTGCTGTTGAAAACAATCATAATTTCTACCACAGCAGGAAGCTGAGAGAAAAATCATCTTTTACAGTTTCTGTGAAAACCCTCTGCTAGAGGCATGTTTAAGCAGGGTGAGGAAGCAGCTTTCCCAGCCAGCATCCCCTGTGAAAGAGTATGAAATGATGCTTTTAAATTAAAAGGGAAGAAAACAGTCAATCAATTTCTATAAAAATCTTAACAGTTAATAAACGATTCTAATATCTTCTTACATCCACATAATGTTTTTCTTTCTTTCTTTCTCATTAGATAGAGGAGTGAGTCTCTGGATTATCAATGGATGAGTAAAGGCACACTCTGAAAGAGGAGAAAATGGATCTCACTTTTCTGTTCATCTACTAAGTAGCAGATATAGGATTTCCTCCACAACCAGAGGCAGAAGCATAGCACAGTATTCTCTCTAGGTTTTTTTTTTTCCTTTTTGTCTTTTTTACTGACCAGTAACGGGATCGCAACCCTCGGTGTTGTTCATCTACTAAGTAGCAGATATAGGATTTCCTCCACAACCAGAGGCAGAAGCATAGCACAGTATTCTCTCTAGGTTTTTTTTTTCCTTTTTGTCTTTTTTACTGACCAGTAACAGGATCGCAACCCTCGGTGTCGCGCCCGTACCAGGGACTGGCAACGGGATCGCAACCCTCGGTGTTGCGCCTGCACCGCGCTCAGCCAGTGAGTGGGAACCGGTCTCCACATGGGATCCGAACCCTCGGCTCAAAGTTTAATTTTTTTTTTTTTTTTTTTTAGACCAGCCGCACCGTGCTCAGCCAGTGAGCGCTGTGAGCGCACTGGCCATCCCTATATAGGATCCGAACCCGCGGAGGGAGCGCTGCTGCACTCCCAGCGCTGCACTCTCCTGAGTGCGCCACCAGCTCGGCCTCTCTCTAGGTTTTGAAGGAACTTTAGTTTTAAACAAGATGCTAAGCCCTTCCCTTTGCCCCTCCCCTCCAAATCACAAAAGATTGCATAAACACTTGCTCACTCTTGATTTGAAGTGGCTGTACCTTGGTGACTGGATCAAATGTATAGCTGCCTTGTGTTGGTGTCAGGTTCATATTCAGCACAACTTTTGGCATGTGAACTGTCACTGTAATTCCTTCAATAGTTTTTCCCATATTCTGCTTTGGTCCAATTGTTATATCAAATCTGCCGGCAGAACTGTTCTCCTTAAAGCTGATGCTATGTTTCACATACACTGGTATTGCCACTAGACTAAAAAAGACACAAAAGCACATACATACATAATTAATGGTATGGGACAGCCTGTAAACCTCAGTCCAGAGTATCTTAATCTGCTTCTAACTCCACAATAGGGCTCTGTACCTCCAGAACTGCAGACTCAGAATGTGCACAAGGGGGAGTTGAGTACGGCACAATGTTCTGGTACCATGTGCTAGGAATTGTTTGATTTCTCGGCAACAAGTATGTGGATCAAGGCAGAAATCAGAAATTTAATTATAGACAATTGGGGCAAACAGCTCTACCTTAAAAAATGAATTAAGATCCCATTGAAAGATAATTTAAAATTATACAACTAAAACAGTTCCTGTGTGATAAGAGCCAAGAAACAATTCCTCTGCTTTTGAACCCTGTCCTTATGTTACCCAAATACCTTCTGATATTTTCAACAGACAAGCTAGCTACAACCCATAATAAATTATTCCTCTAAAATTCAAAGCAGAGAATGACTCGAGCAGGTAAGTTGGGGAATTTCCTGGGGAGCTACAGGTGTAGGTCTGTCTCCTGTTTGCCACAAAGTCTACAGACCATGGTAACATTACAGCACCAGCTCATGGTTTTAACCAGGTTATGCATGGTCCAAAATGCTTGCTTGCTCTCAGCTACAGATTTTACTACACTCTCATTTACTACTACTCTATACTCTTAGATGCAGGGTACACTGATTATTTTAGGCATATACTTTCACCACTTCTCACTGGGTCTCCTAGTGAGCCATAATTCAAGTGAGCAATGATGATCTCAAGTACCCAGCTGTCAGAATGAAACAGGGAAGGGTGGGTTCTACTCAGCACATTCATCTATAATGGCAGATTCTGACTGATGCATCAACATACTTTTGTGAACTGACACGGTATGATATGAGTCGGAAATTTCCATCTGGAGGAATAAATGACAAAACTCTTTCAGATTCCCAACGCTTGAACCGGATGCAGGGGTGGAAGCTGACATCATCCAGAAGCCTTGGGTTCTGCCAGGAAAACAGAAGACAAGCTGTATGCATTGAGTATAATGAATACGGCAACTCTGCTCAGATACTGTCAGAAATGACGATGCTCCCTAAATATAAAGCAGTCATGTGACAGTTTAAGACCATATCAACACAACGTTATAGTTTCATAATGTTTTAAAGCTTACAAATATTTATAAACATTATTTTATTTGAATTTCAATAACTCTATGAGGGAGAAAAGGTGAGGAGTAGTACTTCCATTTCATAGATGAAAAAACTGACATTGAAAGAACTTAAGGTCAGGACAGATTGGTAATAGAGACAGCACCAGACCTCAGCTCTCTTAATTATTCTTAGCAGTGCGTCATGCTGAGTGTATGCCCTTTCACATCAGCAAAGCAAGTAATTATTCAGTAAAAATGACACTGAAGATTTGCAGAAGCAAGCCAGCCAATTTTAAGCCACTTCTATCACACTTAGGCAATGACGTCTCCTCAGCATTTCCATAAAGGTCATGCTCATCATGTAAGCTATTGTCTTGCGACGCTGTGCTAGGAATGTTTCTGAGATAATCCTTTGCAATCTAAGATACAACCTTATCTCAGTATTTATCATTTCATTTAGTACTTCATATGTCTTAAGTATGCAAGGAACTATAGAACAAGGGAATAAAACTTACCATGAAAGAAAGGGAGAGATCAGGCATTCCAGAGAGCTTAATGCAAGCATCAATGACCCCCTGAATCTCTGCAAAGACTGTAGCTCCTAAAAAAGATAAAGAAAGATACAGAAAAAAAAGGGTGATAACATCAATGGAATCTGGATCTTTACTAGAGCTATCACTATATTTAGAGTAATGGAGATACCCCCAGGTGTCAGACTTAACTGAAGCTTTGCATCTCTATTAACAGGTCAGTGGACAGAGGATCCATTACACCAGTTTATTTATTTATATTTTCATTTTTAAATTTTTTTATTTTTTTTTATTTTGTCAATATACAATGTGGTTGATTATTATGGCCCATCACTGAAACCTCCCTCCCTCCTCCCTCTCCCCCCTCCCACCCAAGAATGTCCTTTCCGTTTGCTTGTTGTAACACCTTCATAAAAATTGGATTACACCAGTTTAGACAGCTTCTTCACTGAATGCCATGGCCCATACCTAACTGGCTGGAATATAATAATTCTAAGGAAAATCAAACCTGTCTCCTTTATAGAGTCTACCTTGTAAGACTACTGGATATGAGTTTAACATATTTTTTTTTTCCTTTTTGTCTTTTTTCGTGACCGGTAACGGGATCGCAACCCTTAGTGTCGCGCCCGCACCGCACTCAACCAGTGAGCGGACCGGTCTCTATATGGGATCCGAACCCTCGGTGGGAGTGCCGCCGTGCTCCCAAGCGCCGCATTCTACCGAGTGCGCCACCAGGCCGGCCCAAGTTTAACATATTTTTAATAGAATTTTTAAATAAGGCAAGTTACTTAGGAAATGAACTAAGCTGCTTGTTAACTTTTAAGAAAGTGGAAGCCTGGCTGGTTAACTCAGTTGGTTAGAGCATGGTCTTAGAACACCAAGGTCAAGGGTTCAGGTTCCCAACCAACTAGACACCAAAAAAGAAAAAAAAAAAAAAAAAAAAAAAAAGTAGGAGCCATAATTTCTTGATCTCTCATTCTGTAAGATGGAATATTATAATGAAAAGAACACTCACTGAAGAAAAGATATTGGCTATAATTTATAGTGTCATCATCGCATATCACTATATGTCCTTGAGCAAGTCACTTAACCCTTTTGAGCCTCAGTTTCCTTATGTATAAAACTAGAAATTTTTAATAATAAATTTTTATGCCTATCATAAAGTTCCATTGTTTTGTTTGGTTAAAAAATAATCAAAAAGGGGCTTTTACTAGAAGTACTGCACAAAAGTAGTAGCAAAATATGATATACAGTAAGAAAAAAATGTTAGAATGAAAAAATAGCAAGAATTGGAGGTAGACAGGGTACTATTTGGCATCATGAGTTCTGAGTTACAAATGTTTGGCATATCTCAACTAGTAGTTATGAAAATTATATGTAACCTCTGGGCAAAATAAACAGATTCTTAAATCATTAGAAAACGAATGTCTTTCTGCTGAAATACTGCCAAGGGATTTCAGTTTTCTATTCAGCTTGTGTCAGCTGAATTGTTTGTTTTCCACAAATAAAACCACATACACACAATTACCTGATTTATCTATAATTGCATCTATTTCTTCAACGACATCAAAATAGGCTTCGTTGTTTGTGTACTTTACCCCTGCCCGGCGCCATGGGATGTTGGACAGCTGACCAGTAGGGAGTGTGTCCCCAACATTACTACTGCCTAGAAATCAGAAAAAGAGAAAGCAAAGTTGATGTGTAAAATGGTCATCAGAAAAGCTATTATCAAAAAAAAAAAAAAAAAAGAATGCTTTAGTTGCTTCTTCAGGGTTTGGATTTTTCTTCATTGAAGTTGTGGATGGTCTCCAGAACTGGTGGAGACATCCATGATTAAATTTCTAAAAGACAGAAATAGGCCATGTGGTCCTTTGTCTATCCGCCAAACCAGGTTAAATTCATTTTACTTATCTTTTGCTTCCTTTGTGTTAACCTAACCTAATTCCAGTGGCTCAACAATAGAATCTCGTTCTGCTGCCACTGATGAAAAAAGAGCCTGGTTGGTTCAAAACCTTCTGCTGATAAAATGTCTCCACTGAGAATACAGGGTGATAACTAGGCCCTTTGGTATTCTGATTAATTCTACATGAGATGCTTCCTAGCATGCTTCAGTGGAGTAACTGATGAACATAATCTGGCCCTTTCTCATTTTAAGGTCAGCACACTCATATGGCTGCAATATAGTTAATGCTAATTTCCTGGCAAACTGACATATATCTGAAAATAAGTCTAGTTGTCCAAACACACATCCTTGAGCTGTGACTTAACAATCTGGTTAATTTACATTTCCAATTCAAAAGTAGTACATACTTAGCCAAAACAAAACAAACAAAGAAAAAAAATAGGAAGTTCAAAAAAGTGGTTGTAAAAAATCTATCTTATTACCAAAATATAATTACCATTAATATTTTGGTATATTTCTTTACACCTTTTCCCCATAAGTAGGTTGCATTTATTATATTTTCTATTTTGATAATTTTTATTTTTCTGATTGTACTTTAAATTATAGTGGCAATCATACTGTATATACAATTTTTTTTTTTTCCTTTTTGTCTTTTTTCGTGACCGGCAACAGATCGCAACCCTCAGTGTCGTGCCCGTACCGGATCAGGACCGGCAACGGGATCGCAACCCTCGGTGTTGCGCCTGCACCTCACTCAGCCAGTGAGCGGCCGGTATGTATGTGGGATCCGAACCCTCGGCAGGAGCGCCGCCGCGCTCCCAAGCGGCGCACTATAGCAGTGCGCCACCGGGCTGGCCCCTGTATGTACAATTTTGTAGTCTACTTATGATGGTGTTCCTGCCTCCAACTGGTTGCCTTCCAGAAGAATTTTTGAAAAACACTTCTTGGGCTGACCCCGTGGCACACTCGGGAGAGTGCGGCGCTGGGAGCCCAGTAGCGCTCCCGCCGTGGGTTTGGATCCTATATAGGGATGGCCTGTGCGCTCACTGGATGAGCGCGGTGCGGCCGGTCACAAAAAAGACAAAAAAAAAAAAACAACACTTCTTTAACCATGTTATCTTCTTGCTCAAAAACCTTCAATGCTTCACCACCAGCTTTATGATAAAAGCTGAATATTTAGCCTACCATTCAGCGGCTTCTCAACTTTTTAATTTTATCTCTCAGTACTCAACTAAAAAATAGTTCTGATCTGCTAAAGAGGTTAATACAACTCAAGGTTTTCACTTCATGTGTGTTTTTTCTCATACAGTTCCATCTATGAAGAATGTTCTTATCCCTCCCTCTTTTCCTAAATTGTGTTGGTTCTCCAGGGCCCTGTTGGAGGGCCACTCACCACAGTTCAGGAGGAACTATGTCACTGAAACATTCTCTTGAACTTTATAATATATTGCCTTATGAATCTATGTTATATTTTTACATTCTATATTTTAGTAACTTTATTTCTGACTATAAAATACATGTTTATTTTGGAATATTAGAAGGTATAGAGCAAAAATAAAGATAATCTGTATTTCCTTAGCTGGAAATAATCATTGTAAACATTTCTGAACTTTTTTGTCTATATGAATATTCAAATAACTTTTTTTTGGTTTTTGTGCTGGATTTTTCCATTTATTATATCTTATGTACTTTCCAATGTTGTTACATTGTCTATAAATTATAGAATTGCTTTTTAAAATCTTATACTGTTATTTACATATTTTTATTTTTTTTCCAGTCTCTCATCCAGAGTGTAAGTTTTAGGAGTAAAGATACTCCATCTTATCTTTCTTTGAGTTTCTCCTAACACTCCGCATTGCACAGAGGATGAATAAAGAGCTGCCAAATGATCTTTTTCTCTTAGGCCTCTCTCACCCCATTTTTACCTCAATGCACTGGAAAAGGGTTTACAATAGCAAACAGTATATAGTTGAAGTGGCATATAACATTTCATAGGAAACTTTCTCAAGAAGACTTCAATACTTTCAAAAGAATATTGTCTGTTGGAGGTACCTAATCTCTAGCTATACTCAAGAATAGCTTATAACATAAGCACAAAGCCCACAATGCATGAAATCTCACAATAAACCAATTTCCTATTTCCTCATGTTTTTGTTTTTGTTTGCTTATTTTTTGTTTTGTTTTGTTTTGGCAGCTGGCTGGTAAGGAGCTGAACCGTTGTTGACTCTGGTGTTATAACACTGCGTTCTAACCAACTAAGCTCACTGGCCAGCTCCCGTTTCCTCATGTTTTAATATGTTTTCTGCATGTATAAAAACAAAGACTTGGAGGAGATAGTACATACTCTGTAGTGAAGTCTTAAATTTTCTATACTCCAGTAATTGTGGGATAGCAGCATAATGCCAGTTATATAATGGTATTTTAAATATTAAAATGTCAGTTTATAAATAGAATAAATAAATGCTCTTCTAACTGGCCTCATATACTTGCTACATTAGGATTAACTGGGGGACAATTTATTCAGTCTTATTATCTAGTGTTAAAATAATAGTAATAATATTATTGTTGTCTTGGCAGAAAAACCTGTTAACAAAAGAATAATAACCAAAAGTTCTTTATCATCTAAGACCTAGCCTCTTTCCATGAAAAGAAATATACATCCATTTTAACATTACCAGTAACTTGACGGGTGGGCGGGGGGGACAGAGGGGGTTTGGGGAGGGATAGGTCAGGTATAGGGCAGAAAGAAAAACCATGATTTGTAACAACGAATATGCTAATAATGATTAAAAAAAAATTACCAGTAACTTTAATTCTAGCCAAATTGGACTACCTTAATAATCTGTCGGATCATAAGCAACAGTTGAGTTGTTTATAAAGTAAAACTGCTCAGTAGCAAGTAGAGTATGTTTTGATCTTACCTGTAATAGAGTTGACAACAGAACGTAGAATTGTTGGTGGTTTAATCAGTTCTTTCAAAATATTAGATTCAGTAGCCAGGGGAAATCCATTGTCTAACATTTCTTCCAAGAGCTCGTATACTATGACCACATTATCCTTAATTGCAGCCTCTGAGCATTCACCAAAGTAGTCCTAACAAAATATACAGAACATTGCACATGAAAGGCACAAAGAAAGACTTGCTAAGTGTTTTTGTTCTGAAGAATAAATTTACAGTAGCAAAATGCACTGTTTAAGATGTAAAAATCTTAAAGATGCAAGTTGGAAATACGTAAAATAGAGGGGAAATAACCCTCTATAGTCCTAACACTAGTCCTCAATATTTTATTAATATTTTTAGATCGAACTGAATTCCTATTACATATCACACCAGAAAGTACTGAAACATTAAACTGTGAATGTGAGTTATAAACTTTGTTCACCCTGATTAACTACCCCAAAACACACATGGTAAGTTTTAAATTATTTGTTATATTCAGCAAGACAAAATAATAAAAAGTAATACAGAAAAGTTCATAACCAATAAAAATCTTGATGATATAATTTGTGATACATATAAAAAATAGTGAACAAAACAGCCATGTGTGCCACTGTACACCCTATAGAAAAGAGTTTATGAACTTATGCTTAGTTAAAAAGAAGAGAGAGACAGTACATATCAAAAGCTGGCTGGCTAATTAAAGAATATAATCATGTGTCACACTTCCAACTAACTTGGGTAATTTAAGTTAGAAAGGTCTGATAGATAATTAACCTGAAAAGTATCAGCAACTCGATGTAGGAACTCAATTACAAAGAGAGGTGGCACTTCAGTCTGTATGACAGACACAAAGAAGAGCTTATCCCGGTAGATACTGATGAGGTAGTGGTGAGGTGTTGAAATGACAGGTGGTACATTTTCGACATCAGCAGCTTTCTCCTGAGCTTCAAAGAAATAATCACAGACAGACTGGCTCACGACGCTCTTCCAGTGTTTCTCTAGAAATATGTCACCGGAACAGTTTATGAGAAATAGACTGTGGATCATTTTCTGTCGGGAAAAAAAGGTTTAAATTTATTGTACATCAAAAAGGATCCTTGTATTACCCTGACACAAAAACCAGACAAAGACAACACAAGAAATTATAGACCAGTATCACTTAAGAATATAGATGTAAAAATCAGCAAAGACGTTGAAATCAACGAAATACTAGCAAAAAAACCCCAACAACATATAAAATAGATTATATACCCTGAGCAAGTAGGATTTATTCCAAGAATGCAAGGTTGGTTCAACATATGAAAAACAATCAATGTAATATACGATATTAATAAAATGAAGGACTAAAACAAATGATCACTTCAAAAGGTGCAGAAAAAGCATTTGATAAAATCCAATATCCTTTTATGAAAAAGGAATAGAAAGAAACTTAACCTCATAAAGAGCATATATGAAAATGCCACAGCTGACATCACATTTAATGATGAAAGGCCAAAAACTTTCCCCCAATAACAAGAACAAACAAGGATGTCCACTCTCACCATTTCTATTCAACATGGCATTGGAGGTTCTACCCAGGAAAATCAAGCAAGAAACATGAAAAAAAAGGCTTCCAAGATGTAAAGGAAGAAGTAAAATTATCTCTCTTTGCAGAAGACACAATCTTGTAAATACAAAATCCTAACGAATCCACAGCCCCCTCCCCCAATAGCTAGTAAATGCAAAGTTGCAGGATACAGGATTAATATGAAAAAATCAATTGCATTTCTTTTTTTTTTTGTCTTTTGTCTTTTTCCGTGTCCGGCAACGGATCGCAACCCTCAGTGTTGCCCCCGTACTGGACCGGGGACCGGCAACGGAATTGCAACCCTCGGTGTTGCTCCCGCGCCTCGCTCAGCCAGTGAGTGGGAACCGGTCTGTATGTGGGATCCGAACCCTCGGGCGGGAGCGCCGCCGCGCTTCCCAAGTGGCGCACCATCCAGTGCGCCACCGGGCCAGCCCCCAATTGCATTTCTATACACCATCAATAAATAATCTGAAAATAAAATTAAGAAAACAATCTCATTTACAATAGCATCAAAAAATTTAAATACTTAGGAAATAAATTTAACAGAAGTAGTATAACATTTGAAAATGGAAAAACATTCAATGTTCATAGATTGGGAGACCTGATATTATTAAGATGGCAATATTCCCCAAATTGATCTACAGATTCAATGCAATCCCTATTAAATTCTCAGCTGCCTTTTTTGTGGAAATTGACAGGGTAATCCTAAAATTCATATGGAAATGAAAGAACCAGAAACAGCCAAAACAATCTTGAAAAAGAGCAAAGTTGGGGGACTCATTCTTCCTGATTTCAAAATTTACTACAAAATTAATGTGTGGTACTGGTACTGTAGAATAAACTATAAAGCATATGTACTTCACAGGGCCTGGTTTTCCAAAGCCTTGCAGTTTCAAATATTGACCTTGCAGAGGACTGGAAATTTTCCCCAGGCTATTAAGTCTCTGTTGCAAGATAAGAACTGTGGCACAGCAAGGTTGCTGGCTCAAAGACAGACAAGTTACTGATTGATATCTAAGTTGCTGGAAAACTGGTAGAGGGAGAAGTAATGTTTGCTAAGATCAAGCTGTTGTTGATAGGATCACTTAATTGTCTACTGGAATGTCACCTGGTTTGTTTCACTGAAAGTTACCAGCCTATTTTGTTAAACTATAATCCCACCTATGTTCTCTTCCTGTAACTTACTGGTCTTGAAAATAAATGCAGGAAGAGAACCCCAATTTGGTGTTAATTTCCTGAAGAAGGGTTGCCTCTTGCTGGAGGATCCCAGGGAAGTTAACCACTTCAGGGACTCTCACTGCTCAGAAGAGATGGGCTTTGAGTAATCCTTTGCATCTCCATCACCCAGAGGAAGTGGGGTGACAAATCCATGGGGGGCAAAGCAACACAAAACAACAAGGTACAAGGATAAATACATAGATCAATGAAGCAGAATTGAGAGTTCTAAAACTAACCCTTACATTTATGTCAATTGATTTTCAACAAGGGTGCCAAGACCATTCAGATGGAGAGAGAATTGTCTTTTCAACAAATGGTGCTAAGACAATTGGATTTCTACATGCAAAAGAATGAAATTGGATATCTACTCCATACCCTATAGGAAAAGTAACACAAAATGTATCAAAGACCTAAATGTAAGAGCTAAAACATAAAACTCATAGGAAAAAAACATGCATAAATTTTCATGACCCTGGACTAGACAATGTTTTTTAGTATATGGCACCAAAAGAAAAAGCAAGAAAAAGAAAAATAGATAACCTGAACTTCATCAAAATTAAAACTTTTGTGCTTCAAAGGACATTATCAGGAAAGTGAAAAGACAACCCATACAATGGAGAGAAAATATTTGAAACCAGGAATCTTATAAGGAAGATTCCTATATTCCTATCCAGAATATATAAAGAACTCTTACAATTCAGTAATAAAAAGACAACCCAATTAAAAACTGGGCAAAGGATTTGCAAAGTATCTCTCCAAAGAAGATACACACACAAATGGCCTTATAAATAGATGCTCAGTATGATGAGTTATTAGGAAAATGCAAATCAAAATCACAGTGAGATAACATTTCATATCCACTAGGCTAGCTATAATAAAAAAGGCAGACAACTGCAAGTTTTGCAAGATGGAGAGAAACTGGAACCCTCATACATTAATGGTAGGACTGTAAAAAGGTGTGGTTACTGTGGAAAACAGCTTGAGTTTTCAAACAGTTAAACACAGAGTTACCATGTGATCTGGCAATTCTACCCCTAGGTATATACCCAAAAGAATTGGGAACATATGTCCCCATAAAAACTTGTGCACAAATGTTTGTAGTAGCATTATTCATAATACCCAAAAAGGGGAAGCCCAAATATGCATCAATTGACAAATGAATAAACTAAATGTGGAATATTATTCAGCCACAAAAAAGGAATTACATACATATACATGCTACAACATGGATGAACCAAGAAAGAAGCTAGAAACAAAAGGTCACTTCGATGGGTCAAATGTGTCCTCCAAAAGCTCATGTATTAGAAACCTGATCTCCACTGTAACAGTGTTAAAGAGGGGGAGGGGGATCCATATTTGAAAGGTGGGGCCTTTGAGAGGTAATTGATTGGATTGTGAGGACTGCACCCTTGTAAATGGATTAATCCATTCATGAAGTAATGGGTTATCATGGGAGGGTTCTGATGGCTTTATAAGGAGAGAGTGAGAAGGTTAGCTTTCTCTTGCTCAGGCCATTCTTTCCATTTAATACCATGGTTACCCTGGGATGCTGTAGAGAGTTGCCACCCAGAACAAGGCCCTCACCAGATGGTCCTCCTGGAGTGTGGACTTCCCAGCCTCCAGAACTGTAAGAAATAAACCTCTTTTCTTTATCCATTACCCAGTTTCAGGTATTCTGTTATAAACAACAGAAAACAAACTAATATAGTCACATATTGTATGATTCCACTTGTAGGAAATGTCCAGAATGAGCAAATCCATTGATATACAAAGTAGATTAATTGTTTCCAGGGGCTGGGCAGAGGGAAAGGAATGGGGAGTTATTGGTAAAGGATTTGGCATTTCTTTTTGAGGTGATTAAAAACTGTTCTGGAATTAGAGATGATGGTTACACAACTTTGTGAATGTTCTAAAAACTACTAAATTGATGAGTTTTATGGTATGTTAATTACATTTAAATTTTTAAAAAAATATTCTTGATACCTTGTGACACAAATCCACTCCCAGGTAGATGCAACAGAAATGTGTACAAAGGTGCAGCAAAAACATATGTAAAAATATATTTGTAATAGCTAAAACCTGCAACAATGCAAATGTTTATTAACAGTACAATAAAAAAATAAATTGTAGCATTTATAAAATATTATATAGCAATGAAAATAAACTATTGCCACATGAAACAAACATGGATGAATCTTACAAACACAATTCTGAACATACAAAGCCAGATGCAAAAGAATATATACAGTATAATTCCATTTATATGAAGTTCTAGAACAGGCAAAACTAATCTATGGTATGAGAAATCAAATGGTTTTCTTTATGGAGTCAGGGTAGTGACTGAGAGGGGCATGAGACCAGACTTCTAAGGTGCTCGTAATGTTTTATATCTTGATCTGGATGATGTTTACAAGTTGTGTTCATTTTGTGATAATTCATTGGGCTTTACATTATGAACTGTGTACTTTTGAGTGTCAGATGCTTTAAATAAGTTTATTGTGCCTGCAATATGAATGAGAGTCAGTGGAAAATACCTACCTTAACTTGTTCCTCCTATCTTTTAGATGGATAGGCATCAGTATCAGGTGTTTATTCTAGTGGTTCAATCATTCAAACTAATAGTACTGTATGCTAAATAAAGCCTGAAGAGAAAGAATTTGAAATCTATGAAATCAGTTTCTAGAAAGAAACTGCAAGAAAATAAATTCCAAAGAGGAAAGTCTTTCCAGAATTGATTCATTCCATTCTGTTAACACAGAAAACAATGATGTCAATCTGACCAATTCTTTTCAGAAGAAGTTATTTTATGAATATAGCTGACATTTAAAGAAATATCTGGTGCTGATTTCCCTTTCCCATTAGGTACATGCTCAATAGTTATAAAGTAAATAATACTAATTACCAAGATAGGTTTTAGTAATTACTATACTAATAAAGTATGAATGCTATTAATAGTTTAGACTTCCTGTTTATTAGAAACAGAAAATGTTTCTTTATTTAAAGTCACCTCTATTTAGCCAAGCAATCAACTTGAATTGGCAGCAATAACCCTGACACATCAGGCTTGGAACCCGCCAAATTTTTCTACTTTATCTAGTCTGATGCTTTGCTTATTAGTAAGTTTGTTTTGTGTCAGCCTTATATTTCTATCTGGGTGTTAATATAGTGAGTGCCACTGTAATACAAAGACATGCCATACAGAAACCACTGACTTTATAACCTCAGCTGATAACCTTTTCATTTTTTAAATGAAACAGGAATATCC